TGAGACAGGGCCACTGAGCGGGGCGATCATGCACTTGACCGCATTCAAACATAGCCGGGCAACTTCAGGGGCCACCTTAAAGATGCGCGCGAGTTGGACCACTTACTGCAACATTTTTACCGTAGCTCCGATATCATCAGCACGCGCTTTGACTTCACCCCGTCGTTCAAGGTCAATGTGTTTCTGGAAATCCAGGAGGAAGCAGTCTGTGGTCACCGCATAGAGAAACCCACTTCAGCCTTGAATTATGCCAGAGCCGATGCCAAAGAGATAGACCATTGATCCCCCAAGAATGGCCCATCAGATCACATTGGAATAAATGTAAGCGATGAAGCCGTCGAGAGGAGGGGGAAGGCGGAAAGCACCCAGAACCAACAGCATCCACTCGTGAGCCAGCGAGGAGAAAGCCTGGGAGAAGTCGAAGGAGAGGAGAGCAGGAAGGTCGACGTCGGCCGAGCTAGACATGGCGTAGCATCTGGCAGCAGTGTCCAACTGGACAATGCTGTCGCCAAATTGCCTGTCTGCGATAAAACCACGCTGGATCGAACACGCAATGGTTGACCAGCGTCGTGCAAACGAACTTAGGCACACCCCCGCCAAAATCTTGTCATCGGTATTCTTAAGCCCTAGAGGCCGTAGATCATGCGCCGTGCGGATGGCCCCGGATTCGCCCCCGCCCTGGTTCCCCTTTGGCAGGAAAGCACCCAGCAAGAAATTGAAATCGTGGCCGAGCGCGCCGCCGCCCAGCACCCACCACAAACAGCCGTCGAGTACATCGATCGCACCTGGGGCCTGCTGCCACGCAGCATGAGGAATCCTATCGGGGCCTGGTTCGGAATGGCGTCGACGCCGAATGTGGTTTTCCAGCTGTCGGCAGGTCGGAGGTGGGAGGTCGGAGAGGTCGTGGTGGGATGGGGGCCGCTCGATGTAGGCTCTGGCTCAGTTGCGCGATATTGTTGTCGGCGAAAACACCTCCCCCAGTACTTCGAGATCTCAACTTGCTTCTGGCCAGGGTCCACATAAACCTCGTTTTCCACATTGATGGCCTCCAGGGTAAGACGTCGGTCGAACGGGGCCCAGATGCCAGCGCGAGCCTCGAGCCGTCGGAGACGCTGTCTGATTTTACGCTGAGCAGAAGCCTGGGACAAATGTTGTAAAACTTGTTGGTGTTCGGCTCGCTCGCGCCCTAAACCCTCGTTCTGGAGTCGGCCCAGCAGCAGCGAAACAATTTGGGCGGCCACCGATACCTCGAGGCGCCGAGCGGCCAGAGGGCGCGCCTGCACCAGAATATTGCCCAGGCGAACGTCTCGCCCCCAGACCGCACGAGCAATAAACCGTAAGAGCATAATCTGCGCCAGTCGGGAGTGGGGTTCCTTAGTTAGGATAGCCTGACGGGCAAGCCTTGCCGCGTCCCGAAGTAGCTGTCTGTAAATCTGGAGTCGGAGAGGTGGGGCAAGGGAAGAGAGGTCGCAAGCGTCGAGGTTGGCCTAGACGAATTGACGGAAGCTGGGGGAGCTGAAGATGGCCTTGGGAATGGGTTTGGCGGTGGGCCCCCTGGGACGAGTCGGACGGAGGTCCACGGCTATCCCAACATGGTCGGGCGCCCCCTTGTGGCTCAAAATGTCAATCTGCCCTTTGGTGTATCCCGTCGCATGGCACTGTATAACTAACCAGCCTGGCAGAGACACAAAAAGTCGGTCGATCGTGGAGGTCGTTTCCGTCGCAGTCGAGATGTGGGCGGGGTCGTCGATATCGATCTCGGTGAGGGAGGAGAAGAGGGAGGTCCACTGCCTGTCCTGAGTGGCGCGCCAGTCGCTGTAGCCGTGCCCAGGATTCTGCGCGGTCTCTGGCACCAGCGCCCTGGGTGGTGTCGAGGAGATGTTTCAGCCACCTGCAACAAAAAGCAGTCGGGTGTGTGGTGCTTCCTTTGCGGCCGCCAGGCCCCGTCAGATAGCCAAAAATCACCCGCCGTTTTTCGTTCGCAGCCAACCCAACATTGTGCATGCTGTAGTGCGCAACCCACGCGCCACTACTCCCCAGGATTAGCTTCATCCGAATCACCCGCCCCGTCACAAGCACAACTTGCTGCGAGCAAGCAGCCCTGAAATCCTCATCCGAAAGAGCGCCCGCTTCGTGAAGCTCTCTAAGTTGACTACCTTCATAGTAGTTAGCTCCCTGGCCAGGTAAGGTAGGAGGACACGGAGGGAAGAACGCAATCACACCGCCAGCATTACGTCGGGACCCATCATAATTGACGCAGAAGGAGGAGAACACGTCACATTTCTTGTGGGCGTGGTAGAGGTAGTTGGCTAGTTCAGCTTCACTGCCACGGGATTCCTGAACGCCAACGATGCTGGAGTTGGAGAGTTGGGAAGAGAGGTAGCCGAACTTAATCGCGCGGAGGTGAGGGTCGTGGTGGAAGAGAGAGCGGGCATTCCAGCTGCAGCACGAAAGAGATTTGAAGTCCTGACGCCCACTTGCCCACAGGTGGAAGAACTCGCTAAAGACACCACTCAGGCGCAGCGGCCTGCGAGAAAAGCGACTCGCACTTCGCGGCCATCTGCGCCTTGTCCAGGCCGGCGGCCTCGATGTGGTTCTTGGCCCACTCCAGCAGCGGGGGCTCGGACTGACCAGGCTTCGGGGTGAGACGAACGAGTACTTCCCAATTGAGGCATCTCGCCTTTGACTTTATCCATATAGAATCGCCTGCCAGGCAGAGCTCCTCGAGACCACCGCGGAGACGTTTGAGCCCGATCTCATGCTGGATCTGGAACGCGTTCTTGTCGCTGCTGACATACGTCGGCGCGTCGCCATTCGTCGCCGTCTTGGCCGTGAGCTGCCTCCAGCCGCCTTGAGGTCCCAGCGCGCGCATGGCAGACAACGTTTGGTTGACCCTTCTTGTGGCATACCCTGCGGCACCTTTGAATCGTATCTGGAACTTCTTCGAAAGAGGGTCGCCTTCGATGTCCACGTCTTCGGTCGGGATGTTGGCCGTCTCCAGGACAGGCTGGAAACCAACGAGAGCGCTCTGCTTGGGGACGGCATCCTTAGTGCGCAATGTGACGATCGTGCTGTCGGTCTTCCTCTCGAAGCCTCCATTGCCACCAGCCGCGGCAGCTGTGACTTCTGGCTTCTCAGCACGAACTGCACCCAGTAGTTGCCGAAGGTCACGTACATCTTCTTGGAGTGCCGTGATCTTTGTGTTCTGCACACGGATCTCTTCATTGATTTGATTCAATCTTCTTTCCATCTGCAGGTCGAGGGTTTGGCAGTGGCTGGTGAAAGAATTGCCGACAGAAGCGAGGCCCGCCAGGACCGCGGCGAGCGAGCGCTTGACTTCGGCCTTGGTATTGTCCACATGCTGCCTGAGGTCCTCGAGGTCGGCGTCCGTCGCGCGGGGCCGCTTGTTCTCAACCTCACCATCTGAATCTCGAGGACGGGCACGCTGTGGGGTCGCAACTGCAGCAAGAATCGGAGTGGCAGTTCCCCCAATCGGAGCAGACGGTGGTCTGCCTGAATCATCTGGAAATGTCGGTGCCTGAGAAAGACCAACCATCGCAGCCTGGCGCTGCTGAGATGAGGCCCTTGCCCAGTCGCCTGGGTACTCCCAGCCCGCGAGAGGGGCTCGACCTTGCTCTTCGTCACAGTCAACAAAGGCGTCGGGTCCGCTGGCCATCCTTGCGCACGAACAGAGAACGAGAAACAATCTGTTATGCTCCCAACAGGGAGGACCAGTGCGGTGTGAAACAGGAAAAGGAGGTAGGGTCTCGTGACGCCCTGCGGCACCCTGAGCCCTAACCGAGTACTGCCACGCTCTGGCAGTCTTCGGGCAATTGCTCCTGAGCCAAAATGGCTGGAGCCAAAATGGCTACGGACGCCCTCCTCCTCCTCCTCCTCCTCCTCCTCCTCGTCCTCCTCCTCCTCCTCATCCTCCTCCTCAGGGGGCGCCCACGCCTCTGGGCACCCTCCGTGCCCGCGGCGGCCCCGGAGAGAGAACACGCCACGGCGCACGGTCGAGGAGCTGCCAAGGCGCGCTCTCGCCCGCGCTCGGGCCCGAATGGGCATCACGGATCGAGCCGCCTCGGAGGATGGCGCGGGGAGGCGGAGTCCAGGGCTCGGGTCGCGGCCTTTCGCGATGCCGTTTTCCTTTTTGCAGCGTCGGATCTCAGCACGGGCCCAAATGGGCATCCCAGATCGAGCCGCCTCGGAGGATGGCGCGGGGAGGTGGAGTCCAGGGCTCGGGTCGCGGCCTTTCGCGATGCCGTTTTGTCGTTTCTGCAGCGTCGGATCTCGGGGGATGCCGTTGCGGATGCTGGCGCCGGCCTCCTCGAAGCAGCAGCGCGCTCGGGAGCGCCGCGCAGTCGTGAGCCCTGGCGCCAGAGGAGCCCTGATGGCGGCGGCAGGAGAGAAATGCATGCTCTGCGGAGCCCAAACGTTAGGCCAGGCAGCCAAGACACACGCAAGGGCCTACGGCGCTGGACAGGATACCCACTCTGCCAGGGCCGGTCCAGCCTGAATGCTGATGCTGATGCTCATGCCGATGCTGATGCTGATGCCAATGCTCAAGATAGTGCCGATGCTAATGCTCCACCGAAGTCGGGTTAGAAAGTGACGTCAGCGCAATGAAGCCCGATTACATTCGGCTTCGCTCTCAAACAAACTTATCAGTTTGCCTTGAGTGCAGACCGCCTTCGTGCAACGTTGTCCGCCGACTACACACCATCGGCAAATCAGAGAACCAGGTGTGCGTGTGTGTAATGTATGTATGTGTATTTGCAGCTTGGGGCGGCAGTCGATAGGGCTACTGGGGCACTTCCTCCAGCTAGCCCTACACGCGAAGTGCAACAGCGTTTAAAGATATGTTGGTGAGAGCGTGCGTCAAGTCAGACACGGTGCAAAAAAACATGTATCACTACTGCAAGAGCAGGTCCACCCCGCTCCTTGCCTTAAAACCTATTAGACCCAGCCTTGCCACCCTTGAGGCGGCAAAATGTTCAACC